AAATCTGAAGAAATATTCAACACGGGTCGAACTGTTTGGCTGGAAAGAGTTTTTCATATTATATTTAGTCTCACTGTAAAACATAATGAGTTAGTTCAACTCAAACTGTTTGAGGACACCGACTGCCTTTAATCATTTAAGTCTATTAACTCAAACAATTTAAGCATTAAAAATATTTGATTTGACTCAAGTATTTATTGTGAAGATAACTTGGGTAAATGAAGTTAATTGTACCAATTCCATTAAAACTAGTTAGTATATTACACTCATATGCAGGAACTTTCCAAACAGCTGATGTACAATACAAAATCTACAATGAATTGATTCTCCAAATGTTCAAATCACAAAACTGTAAAAATACTAAGGAATACTACATTTTTGTTTTATATAAAGTCAACTTAAAGAAAATGAGTCAGTGGAACAAACTGGAATTATGTGACCAATACTTGAAATACTGCACAAAAAGTTCCCTTAAACCAGTTGAGTTATTCAACAATTGAGTTTTGAGTTGGGTTGAATTCAAGTTATGTTAACGTTAGGGGTGTAACGATTCATCTACTACATCGATGTATCGATTTATATTCTTATGATCCAGCTATAACATCGTTTTAAAAGGTAATCAATCGATTGTATCGATACTAGGAAATAGGGTGGTCATTCGTCCGGGTTTAGGCTGTCAAAATAAGTAATTAACATTGGTTACATTTTCGTGTAGTGACCTATCAACACATGGCTAATTTTAATATTCAAATGAGCCATGTGTTAATTCACCACAACAGGTGCTCATGCACAGTTGCTACCACCAGGCTGTCAAACAAGCTCTCAGTGACAGAGAAGTACGGTTAGCTAACGTCGGTTGTTGGACTGAAATTCTATGGCAATCTTCATCTGATTTACGTGTGATATACTGGCTCATAATGCGGCCGCGGCACTCTCCGACGTACACGGACTGCAGCTTTAACTGAAGTTGAATCAAATGGTACCAAGTATTTGATATAACTCCTTATAGTTTACACTCCAAATATTTATCACAGGGACACAAAACTAAACCCATGTCCCCCTAAGGGCCTCCATACAAAATAGGCAAAAATAAGCAAAATCCTTAATCAAGAACGTAAACAAAACTGATCTGAAATAAGTAAAATAAACAAACACAAACAAAATTCACACAAAATAAGTAAAATTCTTAATTGTAAAACTAACCAACATCCTTAAAGCTAGGGTAGGTATTTCAGAAGAATCTTTTTGTTGTATTTGTTGAAATTCTTTTTACATCCCGACAACAATGAATCAATAAAATGCTCTGAGAGACAATCTGGTCTCTGTGGCTGCTGTAATGAGCTCAGCCAGTGATTGGATTCAGTCTGAATGAAATGATTGTTAATGATGCAGCAGTCGGCCACTATGTGTTCATGTGTTTTCAGGGAGTGGTTTTGGAGGGAGGCCTGAAGGGAACAGGTGGGATTTATGTTTTCACGTGGATCTTTGTCTAACGTTATCTACCCGAGCTTTAATCACAGTAAAACTCTTATGAAATGAGCAAAATCCTTAAAGGTCCAGTGTGAAGGGATTTAGTGACATCTAATGGTGAAGTTGGAGAATGCAACCAACTGAATACAGCTCGCCTTCCAAGTGTGTAGGGGAACCTACGTTGGCTGGGGAAATGCAAACTCTCCTATCTAGAGTCAGTGTTTGGTTTGTCCGTTCTGGGCTACCGTAGGAACATGGCGGACTCCACCAGAAGAGGACCCGCGCCCTCTGTAGATAAAAACGTCTCATTCTAAGGTAACAAAAGCACAACGATTCTTATTTTCAGGTGATTAAACACTGATGAAAACATACCGATGAATATTATATTCCATTTGTGACAATAGATCCTCCTCAATGTTTCACTCTGGACCTTTAAACTACATTTGTACCAAATAAACAAAATCCCTGATCACAACATTTAGTAAAATTCATACAAAATAAACAAAATCTGTAATTACAAAAGTAAGCAAAATTATTATCTACAAAAGTTGGTTAAATTCATAAAACATAGAATCAAGATGAATTGGTAAGAAATAAGCAAATCTGTAACTGTAAAAAATGAGCAAAAATCCTTAATTATAAATGTAAGCAAAATTCTTAATCACACAATTAAGTAACACTGGTACAAAATAAGCTAAATCCTGTAAAAAAAAAAAATTAAGTTCATGAAATAAACAAAATCCTTAAATGTAAAAATATAAAAAATCCTTGATTACTAAAATTAGACAAAAATCCTTAATGTTAAAAAAATAACCAAAACCTTTCTGAAAATAAGTAAAATCCTGAAACAAAATGAAGTAAGATTCTTAATTACTGTATAAAAATGATGAAAATTCTTGATTTAAAGATCAAATAAGTTTTAACAACTCACTTTTTCTCTCATTTGAATTATTCTGATTATTTTCCCCAGATTTGAGCTGAATGTGGTCCTGCTGTCGAACCATCTACGATACAAATATTACATTTTCAAAGTCCTGGAGGAGGAAATCTTGCTCACAAGATAAAATAAAAAACCCATGTCAACCACAAGGGAGCGCTAAAGTAAAGTTATAAAGTTGATATCTCATTAACAGGATGAAAGTGGTGTCAAACAGCCTCTGACCTTTAATATTGTTCTCTGTTCTCTAACTACATGACTTTGTTAATTCACTGTAATCTTTTTAAACAGATTCTCCCAATCGCAGCAGATTTGTTCCACCAACCCTGGATGTGGTCCAGATCTACAGATCCAACAGCAGGTGGTCCTGAACAGGTTTCTGCTCTTATCTCAGGATTCAGTTGTTCAAACGTCACCAAATGTGATCGAGTATTGTAACACCAGATTCAGAGGATATATGACAGTGTTTCACTTTGACTTTAACTGAATAGATAACATCACTGGGCCAACATTGTTCCAAAATGACTCCCAAACCCCCGACCAGCCTGGGTCTTCATAACTTTAGAATCGGACCATCGACCGGTTCACGGTACATTCAGATCAATCCAGGGGGTCCGCGTACCGATGTCGTCGAATCTATAACGTTAAAACTGATTTCTGAATGTGTAAATCTTTACAGCCCGAGAGCTCAGTATCTCTGCTTTCAATATTTGTGAGGTGTTTTTAAAGAGTTACGTCTTCAATAGGAACAAACAGGGTTGGTTTTGGTCTTTTCATGCTCAGAGTAATAAAAATATAATGTGATATAATAATTCCAGCCAACATGAGGATAAAAATGTAAAATCCTTGACTGAGCTGGTGGCTGTGTGTCAGCTGTGAAATCCATGTGGATGTGAGAGGAGCTCCTTGGAGGACCTACTCTGCTCCCTGAGCTCCTTCCTCTTCAGTCGGCCCTCCTCCAGCTGCAGGAACACCCAGGTTATAATCATCCAGCTCAATGTTCTCCTGTCTGCCCGGCTTCTGCCCCCTGCAGGCCTGGAGAGACACGACAGCATGAGTCCCCTCTTCAGTTCAATAAACAGACAGAGTGCTTCATTTCAGTCAGTCCTCTTAACAACAGACAGTGTCAGTACCTTACAGCAGCAACAGAGGGCAGTGTTCACCAACAGCAGAGTCAGCAGCAGGACGACCACTCTGATGAAGTGATGATGAACTGATGGATCTGATCAAACACATGGACAGTCATCACATCACAAGGTGTTTTCTCCCAGAATCTGTTCAGTGAACTGTTATCTGACCACACATCCTGTCTGCATTGTTCTCCAAACTAAGTTAGCATAGCCCCGATCAACCAAACTCCATTCAGAAAACAAACATTTCAAAAGTTATTTGCTTGTGGTCTTGCAGACAGACCCGACTAAATAACTTGAGCTTATGTAGTTATTTCAGCATCTTTTGATCCGTTTATTGCAATTAAATCACAGCAAATTGTGTTTACTCTGTAAATATGGTGAACAGTGAAATACCTCAGTCAGTAACCAAACATGATCTGTCCTACAGTATGTTGTTTGCTGTTGACATTTACACACTTATATAAGTTTGGACACTATATGACATGTGTAACACAATGACAGTAGTCTCTGTTGTCAGCTGATCATCTTTCCAAAGCTGCATGTAAACAGTCAGTGAGACAGTTTCTCTGCTTCAGCTTACCTGAGACAGTGAGAGAGAGCAGACGGCTCTCAGAGGAGAAGTTATGAGAGAAAACATAGACGTGATAAACACAGCTGTAGTTTCCTTGGTGGGCGGGCTCTGCAGCAGGAAACAGGAAGTGGGCAGAGTGATTGACAGCTGGCTGGGTGTAGTTGTGCGTTGTGTTGGAGGAGGTGAAGGTGAGCTGGAAGGAGCCTCCTGGGTACTGTGGCTGGATGGAGCAGCTGATGGTGAAGTTGGAGCCCCTGAGCACCCAAAACTCCTGCTGCTGGGCCTCAGAGACCCCGTACGTGGAGGAGGACACAGAGATGTTGGGCCGAACCAGCAGGTCTGTAAATGAGATGAGATGATGAAAGGTCGCATTGATGATGTGAATGTCACTGGAGACATGGAGCAGACAGACAGACAGACACACAGACAGACAGACAGAGACAAGCCCACTTCTGACTTCAGGATGTCATGTTCATGTCATATATGATGTAAGATGATGTCACTGATGGGCTAACCTGAACAGGTGAGATTCAGGATGTAGGAAGAGGAATCTGATATTGCACACTCCCTCAGAGAAGATCCAGACTGAACACAGTCAGAGTCGATCCACCACACAGGTCTGTCTGAAGACTCCTCTCTCTTTACTACAGAAACAGCAGAACCACAGTCCAGATTTCTACAGAGAACATTTGCTCCCTTCAGGGTCCAGTAGGAGCCCCCCACTGGTGTCCAGTCTCCCTGTTTCACCTCCAGTGTTCCTGCACAGCGACTGCCTCCTCCCACCAACCTGACAGACTCTGAACAGAAACAAGAGAGTCATCAGTAAAAGAATAAAGTGAGTTTCATCAGAACAGAAATGAACCAATCAGAGCTGCAGCTCCTCTTCTACCTGAGCAGGTGAGTCCAACAGCTTTTCCAGGTGAGCAGGTGTTTCTAGCTGAGCCTGAGCTTCTACAGTCCAGGAGAGCAGACTCATGGCCTCCACACTGGAACTCTTTGGTCCACATTGGAGCCTCCACTTCTCCATAGAGCGCCCCCTGGAGGACTGAAGGAGCCCCACAGCCGAGCTCCCTACAGACCACCTCTGCATCCTGCTGGTCAAAGTCATCTTCACACACTGAGGACCACCACTGGTTAGACTGGTCAGACTTCACCTCCAGTCTGCCTGAGCACAGACTAGACCCATCCACCAGCCTGACAGAGTCTGGACAGATAATAGAAGATAAAATAGAGAGAGAGAAAAGACTGAGGAGATCTGTAACCCAGAATAAAAATCTGTTTCGACAACGATCCAGAAAATCTAAAAGAACTAGAAGAAGAAGTTAATTAATCTGTTTTAGGGAAATTAGATTTTTACACTCTTTTTATTTTTCATTTCAAACACACATTAGCCTGAAATACACACAGGTTGTTCCTCCTCTATTGTTGAGAGGAAAGAGGGAAATAAAACTATAAAAAGAGTAACTGGTTGAAATAAATAATTACCAAACAAACGATTATCATTCATGAATTAAGGTTTCTCTCTGCTTTGGAGAAAATCCATCATTCAGATTGTGATTAAAATGCTTCAACAGCGACACCTGCAGGACACCCCTAGTGTTTTTAAGGAAAGTGCAGCTGCTGTTTCAGTGTGGGTATTTACCAATGGTGCTGGGATCATTACTGTCATATTTCCTTTGTAGCAGAGAAATAGAGCTGCTGTGTTTGAACTACTTTGTTGAGGATAACTGCCAACTTTGATTCAATCCTGCTTCTTGTTACATCTCACAACCTTTCAATCAGGAAAGACCTTATTTTGGAGTGGACAAATATATTTAGATGATATGTGCTCAGTGAAGATTAGAAATGTAAAAGTCTTTGGCGATTAGACCCCATCGTAAAGTCATCGTATTTGAGGGGGTTGGTGGAGCTGTGATTAGTATAGGAAACCCCCAAAAGAATAGAAAAGAATGAGAAAGGAACAACGAACCAGGTAAGAATGGTTCAATCCTACCGTACCAGACAGCAGGGGATCACTTAAAATATGTAATATGTAACAGGAACATATAGCTGGAAGTAAATGATTGTACAATAATGCCATACTGAGGTTGTATTGACCATGACGTGGCAAATGAGATCAGACTAAATTACAACAAGCCGGCAAATGTAAAGGAGTGTTTTCACAGAGGAAATGTGAGCTTGATATTAGAAGAAAATGAGGTCAATTTTATGAAATAATGATTAAGATCAGTATGTAACATAATGGAAAGTTCATAGGACCAAACAGAAATATAAAATATCATAATACCAAGTAGAAATTAAAGTCAGCAGTCACAAACTGAAAATGCAGATTTGTTGCATGAGTTCAGGGAGACTGTAGTATAAAATTTAGAGTAGGTAAGTGCATATTATAAGTAGGTTAGTGCATATTACAAGTTAGTAATCAATTAATCACACAATAATCACACAAAAGTTTTCTTATGCACTGTTGTTTGTTCACACAGATAACTGGAAATCAAGTAGAGAGCACTATGTTTTAAGTAATGATGATTTTGAGTAGAATAGATTTATATAAGCTCACAAGGATGGTAATGAAGGCATGTGTTTTAAGTTTATATGATTTCATGAAAAGCACAAATACAAGTTTTCTTATCAGTAGTAAGCACCATGGTTATTTAGTAAAAGTTTGATTTAATGTGTGGAACATATAGAATGTGTGGTTGTAACACAAGTTTTCTTATCATAACTAGAAATGAGCACTGATTATACCAAATGTATGTGTGTGGTTGTAACACAAGTTTCTTATCATATTATAAAGTTTATAAAGTTTTTAAAAAATACAGTAAAAGACATCTGTGACATAATGGTGTAAGGAAAAGGTAATAAATGGTTTTAAAAATATAGAAGTACAGTAAACTAGATTCTAATGGTGTAATCATGATGAAAGGAGAGCCAAAAGAAAATGTCATGGCCTACTAGTGTAGGCCATGAAGCCTGTGGGTTCAATGATAAGAACATAGGCCTGACGGGGCACCAGTAGGATGGAGCGTGGGCAAAACAAAGGCAGGATAATTGAGCTGATAAGACAACCACTAGGATGGCGCATGGGCCCAACAAGGGCAAAATAATTGGGACCCACGTACTGGTGGAGATTTAGGGTCTTTTCAAAGTAGATATACACCATTTTGTCGTGGATGGAAAAGGTAGAAGGTGGGCAGGACTTGTGACAGAGGGCAAAAGTATATAAGAAGAAGCTTTGTGAGGATGAATTCAGTCTTTCCATGGAGGGCTCGGGCTTTGTTTGTCTGTCAAGATAATAAAGCTCTATTCTACTGCCAACTTTGATGAATCCTGGTTGTTATTTTCCCACCTGAAGGAGAATAACTTTTAGACCTAATTTGGACTTAGAAAATCGTATGTTGGACACACCTTCTGATCAAAAAGAGAACTCATTCTGACCCAGACCCAACTAGACCATAGGTGTAGCATGTGGAACCTAATAAAAGGTCATAAGACCGAACAACACCAACTTAAATAAAATGGAAAACAGAACTTAACGTCTGACAACTAAACAGAAATTAAAGTCAGAGATGGCAAACAAAAGTTAGGATCCGACAACCAGGGGCGCCATATAGGGGGGAAAAGTTAGGACAATTCCAAGGGCCCATGACTGACAGGGGCCCCAAGAAATAGGTAAAAACTAATTTTTAATTAATTAATTTAAAAAAAAAATACTAAACCATCATCATTCAGTATATATATTTCAAATATAATAATATAACTAATGATCTCTTTGTTCTTACTTGTTTTTGGCAGTAAAAGTTAAATATCCCCATTGACCAAAAAGTAAACATCCATATTGACCAACCACCCCCCTGTATCTGCATGAAATGGTTTGGTCCTGCTTTAGGGCACTTATCAGTGACGGTGTTTGCAGTCAGTAGATGCTCCAGAACTACAGTGATCACAATGTTAACTAGTAAATCAAAATCTGGGTTTCAAAAAAAGGAAAGAGAGAAAAGAGAGAGAGGAAAGACAAAGGAAAGGATGTCAATCTGTAACCCAGTGTTTCACCAAGAAAGGAGGCTATAGTCTGTGAGTGGTATTAACCTGTTGGCCTAATGTCCATAGTGAAATAAGATACAGCTACAGACTAGTGTCAGCCTACATTTAATCACCATTAATCAGTTCAGGGAAACGTTCAGCAACATATTCATATTAAATCATTGTCCCTGCACTTTTAGCAGACTTAATAACAGATGAGTCAGCAGCACCCCAGTCTCCCCATCACTGTACCTGTCCTGTCCCCCCCATCACTGTACCCCTCCCTGCCCCCCATCACTGTACCCCATCACTGTACCACATCACTGTACCCCTCCCCTGCCCCCCCATCACTGTACCCCTCCCAGTCTCCCCATCACTGTACCCCATCACTGTACCACATCACTGTACCCCTCCCTGTCACCCCATCACTGTACCCCATCACTGTACCCCTCCCAGTCCCCCCATCACTGTACCCCTCCTGTCCCAGTGAAGAAGGTGACCAACATTGTGTTCAATGACAGGCCAGTTAGCATCATTGCAGGGAGTCTGTGGGGATTTCTCTCTTGCTCTTTTTACCATTACAAAAAAGAAAATGTTTATTAATGACAGAAATTCTAACACATTAATAACAATTATTTTTTCACACAATGATCATTATGAAATAAATAACAATTAACAAGATGCAGCTACACAGCATTTTTGGAGACGTCTGCATTGCTTTACGTATATTTTGCACATTGCCTGTGACTGTTGCTGGTGGGGAGAGAGCTTTCAGTAAGCTAAAACTGATAAACTGTTTGAGGTCCACTATGTCTCAGGACAGACTTTGCAGTCTTGCCATGTTGTCCATTGAAAGTCAGTTGGCTAGAAAGCTCGACTTCAAAGACTTATCAGTGACTTTGCTAGCAGGAAGGCTCGGTGCTGGGCTCTTGGTGAGTCAGGCTGAGCGAGGGCCAGTGATAGCTGACAAATGGCATGGCTGTGGAGATTGGATATTACTACAGACATAATGCCCACAGCCTAAAAACTGAAAACAAGATGTATGGCTGGACTGCCAAAAACGTGTTGAGCTGTTATTTGAGAGAAACGTTTGGGTTTCCAGGAGTCCTTTGTTCTTATTTATACCTTTTAATTTGATGTCACTGGTACTGTTAGTTTGTTATGAGCATATTCCAAACCTCAAAACCTTTTGATTTAGTCATCACTTGATCTGTTTTGTGGCACTATAATAACCCTGGTGTGGAAATCTAATTTTACATGTCAACTTTATTTTCTTGTTGGCATATATGAGCAGCTAAGTTCAAGAATCTGCTGTTTTCATTGTTTTGAGAGGTTGATGTTAATTTATTTAGATTGAAAGGTTAATATATATGTAAGTTTGTTTGTTTCCTTTTTTTTAAATCTTTCATTAATAATTATAATAATAATTCACGATAATAATAATTAATGATTCATTTCGTTAAGAGAATTTTCCATTTTGAAATTTTACAATAAAAATACATTGAGACTGTAAAAGATGTCCTTTAGCATATTTTTTATGGTTGCTTTTAATCTTGCATCAAATAGTGAACTGCATACTGTATGCAGACTTGCATGCATGTACAAATCACCAGCAGTAAATATTGTGCTAGTACTAGTATTGAACTACAAGAAGCAAGACAGTTGCAAGCCTTTAACTAGAGTTATGTAAAGCTTTTGATGGGACAGTTAGGTCCTAGAGATGTGGTGACAACAGCTGCGCAGAGGGGGTCCTGGCGGCGCCCCTGCCGACAGCCAAACTGAAAACAGTGAGTTTGTTGGGTCGAGGTCCTGCACAGAGAAATAGGGGAATCATTTCTGTACCCAAAGGTACATTTGTTACAAAAGTCCCGTCTAAGGCACGAAAAAGATCCTTAAGGTGATAAATGTGGACCTTTGTTTAATTTTAAAGGCACAAAATCATGGCTGACAGAAAGGGGAACATAATTGTAACAAGCTTAAGGTAGAGGAAAATGTTTCAGCAAATCAGTGATCACAAAATCTTGATTTAAATAGAGAGTTGGGCTGACTGAAATAAAATAGACTACTAGTAAATTTCCATTCAATTATTGGTCTGTGTGGCCTGGGAATAATTTCATGAACCAAAGAACTAGGACAGCACTTCCATTCAACTTTTTTAATTTTGCCACAAGGACGTTTCAGCGTGTATTGGCAAGTTCACAGTGGATCTATTTGAGTGATTTTGTTCATTTAATCCCGTAGCTCATTGTCAGTGTAGCAGAGTGGAATGCTTCCAGTAGCCATTACCATTACTCACAACTGTATTTTATTAAGTATTATCACTGTTTTATTGTCAATGTATTTTCTCATTCTTTGTATTCCACGTTGGGGACTTGTTTTTCTGTATTTATTCAACTTTATTTGATGCCGTAGCCCTCCCTTATGGAGCCCCTGCGGAGTTGTGTAGTGCAACCTGTTTTTCCCCCTGCAGTCTGCTGTGGCATGAAAAGGTACTGAAAGTGTTAAAAGATGTAAACTAATTGTTATTTCTTTAAATACATTTTGGTGAATAATTGTAAAGTGGTGGCCTAAAGGCGGGTGGGGAAAGTGAAGAAGCAGCACTTGCCCCTCCCTCAATACCACCACTGATGTGCCCTTGAGCAAGACCCTTAACCCAAAACGCTGCTGTACAGCTGCTCAGTGGCTGTGCTTGTACTGGGCAGCTTCCAAGTATGAATGTGTAACAGTGGCTTCCTCTCAGTGAACCTTCCCTGAATAAATAAAGCTAAAAAACATTGAATTTAAGTGGTTTTGCCACATAAAGGTACAGAATGCCATGTTGCTCCAGCAGTACCTCATTAGACCAGAGAGCTGTTGCAACAGAGACGAAAGGTGATGAGCGCCCTGTGAAGCCCTGCTGAACACAGAGGCCAGCTGCATGTAGACTTGGCAGCGACGAGGGACGCTGATTGGAGACATTGAGGAATTTTCTGGGAACTGATCGGTATGTGAGGACAGCTTGTACCTGACTGTGTTGATCTGGTTTTGTAGGCTACTGGTATTGATGCACGGTGAAAATTTCAGAAGTGAAAACATATTGCTGTGATTTGTTTGTTGGTGGTATACTGGCATTGATACACGATGGAAGGTTTAAGGCAACAAAACATACCGACACAGGACCATGACTGGGCCCACTGCTAAAATATAGACTTGATGTGGTGCAGTAGTGGTTTGATCAGCCTCTCTCCGTCGTTATCTTAACATTGAATATGAATTGAGCTGAAGAATCCAAATCACATTTGCACAGAAATGACAGCTGAAAGCAGCAGAGAAAAGACCAGATTTAAAGTTTAACAGCAGCAACATGATTGGCTGGAGGAGATTGTGGCTAAATCTGATTGGATTAACTGAAAGAGTAAACGGCCATGGCTGATTAGAAAAGAGAGGGAGAGAATTGTGAATGAATGAGGCATAATGAGAAGGTCTTCCTGATTGAACTTACACTGAGCTTCATTAGGCCTGTAGGGTTCATCTGGAAACAACAGCAGTGAATACAATGATGTTGTTTTTAAGAACTCTTGGAAGCCATTGGTTTACTGTTTCATTGTTATTGAACAGAAGAAAGTAGAGATAATCTGCCAACTAGTGTAAAATAACACGATGCTGTGGGTTGGTTTTCCTCCTGTCCTCCACAATGTTTGAGTCAGCAGCCACTGATGCACACACAGGACCTGGACACATGCATTAGTGGACAGATGTCAGAGTGATGAGGCTGCCACACAGTCGCTGCTCCAAGCAGTTAGGGGTTCAGTGCCTTGCTCAAGAGACCTCGGCAGAGCCCAGGAGGTGAACTGGGATCACTGCAGGTGTGTGTGTGTGTGTGTGTGTGTGTGTGTGTGTGTGTGTGTGTGTGTGTGTGTGTCAACATGTTATTGTCATTAATTATGTCATTGATGATGTCACTGATGGGCTTACCTGAACAGGTGAGATTCAGGATGGAGGAAGAGGAAACTGATATTGCACACTCCCTCAGAGAAGATCCAGACTGAACACAGTCAGAGTAGATCCCCCACACAGGTCTGTATGAAGACTCCTCTCTCTCTACTACAGAAACAGCAGAACCACAGTCCAGATTTCTACAGACAACATTTGCTTCCTTCAGGGTCCAGCTGAAGCCATCCACTGGTCTCCAGTCTCCATCATTTTTCACCTCCAGTGTTCCTGCACAGCGACTGTCTCCTCCCACCAACCTGACCTCCTCAGACTCTGAACAGAAACAAGAGAGTCATCAGTAAAAGAATAAAGTGAGTTTCATCAGAACAGAAATGAACCAATCAGAGCTGCAGCTCCTCTTCTACCTGAGCAGGTGAGTCCAACAGCTCCCAATACACTGACACTGAATACACTGGAACACTTGGTATCCATTTTTAAACACTTTCAAACAATAAAACAACATCATCATCTGCAGATTCATCTATTCTGTTCCTTCTGCTCAGGTACTCCACAATCTTTGCTCTCCACACAAAGACGATTCTTTACTTCTCTTTTCTTTCTCTATTTACCTGTTGAGTTGGGTGTTCCTTCAGTCTGCAGTGCTGAGGAGAAAACCAGAAAATACTCATCAGTATGAAGCAGCATTTTGAAAAGAGGACAGTCGATCGATCGTTTACACTTTTGATAGGCAAACTTTAATGAATTGCACCAACACAGTAGTTGTCTTTCTTTGTATGGGTCCATTAAAGGTGATGTTGACATCCTGCAGTTAAACTCTCTGAAGTGCATTTCTGTGAAACACTGTCCCTCTGATAAATGTTCATTTGATCAGAATCTGCTGACAGATTACAGATTACAGGACTGTGGTTCCGTTAGCACGCTGAGCTCTTACTATCACATTAATGCTGTCAGCGTCAGGACATGTGACATGTGTTCACTAATTACCTGATATTTATTAGTTCTGATGATTTAGTGAAGTTGACCTTTGACCCCACAGACGCACAAACAAAAACAAAACAAACGTCAATATCTCAGCAACAACTTCCCAGTGACAGTACGCACACACAGCTACACACACCTTCTGACACCACTGAATTATTGCAGAGAGATAATTACTAAAAAACAATCATTGACTAAAAAGTTCATTAAAAACTGGGTTTGATTTGATGAAAATCTGAATCTGAATCTGTGTGTGTGTGTGTGTGTGTGTGTGTGTGTGTGAGAGAGAGAGAGAGAGAGAGAGAGAGAGACACAAATATTTCACCATCTTTAAAGCAGAGTCCTACCTGAGCTCCACAGCAACAGCAACAGCACCAACAGGTGATCCATGTCCAGGTAGAGCGTCTCTCTGTCCGTCTGTCTGCTGTCTGCTCTGATGTCTCACATGTGCTGTCCTCAGTGTCTGTCTGCGTACAGGAAGAGGTGGAGCTTTACTGGAGTATATCTGACTGACTCTGTCACAGTAGTTATAAAACAGACACAGTTAGAGTCTTTAACACAAGTGCCTGATAATAATACAGTGTCATTATTATTATTATTATTATTATTATTATCATTATTGGATGTTGCAGGGAAAAATGACTAAAAATAGAATCAAAAACTGGTTTTGATTTGATGGAAATCTGATGGATTCAAACTTTACTGTGAACAATTTTACAATGTTTTCCTTTTTGTCTAACTTTGATATTGTGTGTGTGTGGAGGTCATAGACACGTCAGGTCGTATAGAAAATAAAAAGCAATAAATAACAGAAATAAAATCAGTGCGTCCCATCCTTACAAATGCAAAACTACATGGCAAACTTGGATTGTGACTTTTTGTTTAGTTGAATATAAAAAGTGTGGAAAGTCACTGGGAGAGTTTTGGAAGAACAAAATAATGAACAAAACACAGTGTGTTGTTTTAGGTTCCCTCCGTTCTGCAGCATCCAATCTCTCACTGCTCTGGGATGGAGACTGTTGTATTAAATGCTCTTGTGCTCATGAAGAAGATGTGTATCTATGTGAAGTTGTGAAATCCTAGCAGAGTGTAACTTCCTCATGTTGAGTGCGTCTGTGTAATGATACTGCATGACAACTGTTGCTAAGCCGACGCAGTGAGCGTCAGAGACAAGAAAACACTCAATCTGTCAAAGAAAGAAGCCTATTAAGTCTCTATGATTGGTAAAACATTATTTAAAAATACCATCATGATTATAATTCTATTAATGTTATTTTCTGTATGTAGGCTAATAGTCCCACCCACTGTTTAACTGCGTACAGGAACCGATCGCTCTATCTGGCTGCCAATCAGCAGATCAATATCTATGGTCTTTCTGAGCAGAATGAGCCGTCACTCTTCCTGTGTGTTGCTATGGTGATCCAAACCACATGTGAGCAGTTTGCTTATCCGTCTGAATATTTGGCTTTTTTTTATTAGTTATGATGATTTAGTGAAGTTGACCTTTGACCCCTGCAGAGTCAGAAAGCTTCGATTAGAGGAAAACCTGAGGAAAAGTGACTCTGAGGAAACATTAAGTTGTTGCACTTTATCAGTTTTCTCCTGTTGAGCAGTGATGGAAGAAGTACTCACATCTTTTACTGCAGTAAAAGTACTAATACCACAGTGTACAAATACTCTGTTACTAGTATTTATGTTGCTGAAGAAAATAATTATAACTGACTAAAAATAGAATTAAAACATTAAAACTTTACTGTGTACGATCTTACAGTGTTTTCCTTTTTGTCTTCCTTTGCATTGGTGTGTGTGTGTGTGTGTGTGTGTGTGTGTGTGTGTGTGTGTGTGTGTGTGTGTGAAGAGTTCATTTGCAACAACAGATTAAAGCCATTCTTGAAATGAATCAACCAACAGCAGTTTGATTGATAATCCCTGGATTGCACTCACAAGAATCAAAATGGAGATATCTGTTTTTCTAATGAAGCCTTCGTATGTTACTCCAACATCCAACACAAATATTTCACCATCTTTAAAGCAGAGTCCTACCTGAGCTCCACAGCAACAGCACCAACAGGTGATCCACGTCCAGGTAGAGCGTCTCTCTGCCCGTCTGTCTGCTGTCTGCTCTGATGTCTCACATGTGCTGTCCTCAGTGTCTGTCTGCGTACAGGAAGAGGTGGAGCTTTACTGGAGTATATCTGATTGACTCTGTCACAGTAGTTATAAAACAGACACAGTTAGAGTCTTTAACACAAGTGCCTGATAATAATACAGCATTATTATTATTATTATTATTATTATTATTGACTTAAAGCCCATTATGTAACTTTTCCTCCTCACAATCAGCTTAAGAATCATGCTGATGTTACACTGACTGTAACAGGGTGATGCTTCCTCTGTACTCCTGTTCTTGCACTGTGGAACTTTGGTCTGCGGGTCGGAACGAGTGTGTAACGCTTTACGGCACTAAGGCACACACCACCAACTATGTGACTGATTTATGGTGAAAAAAATCTACTCAAGTAAAAAGTAAAAAGTAGCTCATTTAAAATGTACTCAGAGTAAAAGTTACTTACTTACTTCGGGGGGGTGTATAATCTCTCCCCATGCAATAAAAAAGTACAAAAACATACACAGAGCTCAAACTCACTTTTTTATTAAAGAAAACACATAGAGCACAGATAGATCCAGATTACAGTTCCTCCTTAATTACTCAATGAACTTGCTATTTAGTTTGAACAGGAGCTGGTTTTCAGGACTCGGCACCATCAGGTGGGTCAGAAATAATAATCAGAAATAGTATCATTGTTTTCAAGTTGCACCGACGCACCTGACTGCACAGATCAATCCAAATATTACAAAATAATCCTGACTTGATTCATGCCTGAGCTTTCATTCACATCTCACTGTATAAGAACAGAAAATCAACAGGAAACTGTCTTTAGCTCATCAAGACATAAAAGCTGAACAAGATTATCCCACATATGGAAATAAATGTTAACAAAACTCAGTTGAAGTGAAAGTCGTCAGCTCTGTGTCTTTTCACTGATAACCAACAGAAACATCTGGAAAACATCTGGAAAACACTCCAGAAACACTCAGTCGAACCTCAAGTCTAAAGATCACAGATCTCTGGAGGAACCATCTCAAAGTAAAAGTCAATTCTTTCTTCTTCTAGGATTTTTGACGGATTGTTTGAAGCACTTTTTACTCCATTTCTTTCTCCTCCTGCTCTGCTTCAGTTCCTCATTTTAATTACTCAATGAACTTGCTGTTTAGTTTGAGCAGGAGCTGGTTTTTAAAGTTAGTAGAGTTCATTCTAGCTGGGTTTGCAGTGAACAGAAGTCCAGCACAGCTGAAGAGGCGCTCACAAGCAGCAGAAGCAGGCAGGCCAGTGTTGAGTTTGAGAGAGAGCTTTTTGATGATGAGTGGCCGACGTGCTCCATCTCATCCTCTGTCATGTGCTCAATGTGATGCTTCACATAGGCCAAACCTGTGTTAAGTGACAAGTACACAGAAACACACAGAATATATCAGACTTACAAAACATTCTCTACACTCATGTAGACAGGCTCATTATTTTGTTGCAGGTATGATATTGCACTAAGCCTTCTTAAAGGTGGCAAACATGTTTTGCTGCTGGCCCTGTGCACAGCAGGACACTGCTTTGCTTCTATGCTGAAGAAGTGGAGACTCCTCTTCTCCAAACTGTGTGTGAGGTGAAGAAATGAAGTTAATCAGAACCTTGTCAACTTGTGGCACACGTTCGGTTCCACTCACTGCCACCAAGTCAGATATTTTTGCTTGCTTGGGGTTTTTTCTGGTGGCAGGGTCCGCCTCCGTGCTGCCACGAGGTCAGTGTAGACTTTCATCTTTGATGGATGTTTCCTCTGTGAACAAAAAACATCATCATAAATCATCAATACCATGTTTTCATTAAACATACAGTTCAAATATTCTTCATATTAATACATTCATTCATAGCTTTCAGTGTGTCATGTAGAAAGAGTAGACTATATCATGGATGGGTCACTGGCAGACTTTAAGTGTGGTCCCAGATCAGCTGCTTTTATCCTGCATATAAGATTACTGAATGAAAAACATTCACCAATATATCAATCAATCAATCAATCTTTATTTATAGAGCGCCAAATCACAACAACAGTCATCTCAAGGCACTTTACACATAGAGCAGGTCTAGACCATACTCTTTCATTTCATTTTAAAGAGACCCAATATTAGAACAACACTAGAAGAGTTTTTATTGGCCAAAACTTAATAACTTTTTCAATGTGTTAATACACTCATAAGCAATTTTCAACACATATCATAGCAAT